AACCCGTGGAAGATCCTCCAGCGCCGGATATATCTCAATGCATCTTCTAGTCTTCTGCTTAGTTATCACACTGATAATCCTAAAACTGTGAAAACAGACACTATCCTTAATTGGTTTGTATCATATCTCTGAAAAACGCATAGTTTACCGTCACTTTGGAGTGTAATTTGATGTCTTTTTTTAATGAATGCTATTGCAATATTGGGCTAGAGCCTCAATGCTACTGATGACATCTAATCTTCGTGACAGCTTATTTTGCAGGCTGACTTCTCTTGATCTCCCACACTGATATGCAGAGTGTAAATGTTTGAATGTTTTATCGCACAAGTGAAAACGGGAAAGACAGAGGTTTAAAAATATGGGCTCAGTTGCAGTAGGCATTGGATTAATTATACAACGATTCAATAATTGCAGTATATTTAAATATTAAAAAACATTATGAACATTTAAAGTGAATGAGTTAGGAAGATCATTAATGGATAATGAGCTTAGGAATATACGATGTGTTATGTGTTAGTGCTTTGATAGGATCATAAATCCTATACACTTTTTATTTGGTTAACGGGAGCTTCACAAGGTCGCCTCATACCCTGCTCTAATTTTTAAGTCCGACCTTGTGTTGGCGTGTGTGTATGTGTGTGAGTGCGTGTGCATGTATATGTAATAAAGAAGAATTTCACTTAGTGTGGAGACATATCCTGGCAAATCCACAGCCCAAAACACACAAGCAGTAAGTTTCCTTGACCTCAAATGTTGTTAAAATATTCACGAGTACAAAATATTGTTTCTTCCTCTTGATTTTACCTGATTTTCAACCTTCTTTTCTTCCTTTAATCTTTTTCTCTTGTTAGCCCACAGACTGTGTTCTGTAGTACCACAGGAGTTCTGTCGTCTGCAGAACAATTATGTCAATTATCTCGCATTTAAATGGTTTCCAGAGAGGAGTTCCTTGGCTAATAACAGTCAAATGAAGTGACAACTAACCAATTAATCTCACTCTAATTGCTCAGTAGGTACAGTCAATCAATCATAATGCCCCTCTCTCTGTACTTTCTTCCTTGCTTTCAGCGCACATTTTACACTCGGTAGCTTGGCTCACTACATGTCAATCAAATATTAATTCATCCTTTCGCTCCTGTGGGGATGGAAGTGCATTCCAGTGTGTTGACTTCATGGCTATGCTGCTAGTCAGCACATTTGACTTCTATCGTGACAATGTTTGCTTGAAAATGCTTTATGGGCAAATTAAAAGAGTAAAGCAACAGTAGAGATAGGGAGGCCATTCATTTCATAATTGCATGTTTGCAGCTTTGATCATGTTACATAGACAAACATTAGCTCACTGTTAGTCTATATTTAATAGTCTAAATTGCCAAATCACTGCTCCATATGCTAGAGACCTAGAGCCTTTGAACTGACAGTTTCACAGACTCGAATGTTATGATATATCTTGTGAGATTTACACTATGTGCAGCTTTGCTTTCTGCACCCTTGCACACATGTATCCAGAGCCACAAGCTTGAGTGAAGCACAGAGCTGAGCAGCTAAAATCTGCCTGAGTGCTTTACTGAAATAATTTATTCCGGTGTCATTCCAGAAAAAAAAAGGTCACATTTGCAATTTGCAGCAGTGGTGATGGAAATCTGAAAAACAAACTATTACTGTTTAGTACGTTTAAAAAAGTTGAAAAATGACACTTTAATGTGAGCTTTGTGAGGTTTTTGGGAGAGCTTATTTATGTGGTCAGCATTATGAGGAGGTAGGGTTAGTGAGTGACTCGTTAAAAAAAAGGAAACAGCAAAGGATGTGAGCCTGTGTTTTGTCCTAAAGTGGGAGAATCCGCTCACCACTCCAAAAATTTGGAGTTCGTAACATAATGCTGGGTTTCCCTACAAGTAATGCTAGTCAAAAATGGCCATACAAAATCTATTGGTTTCTCTGAATCGTATTTTTTTGGCATAACAAGATATTTTCACTGAGCACGTATTGACAATAATATCCAAGTTTTATTCCAGTCTTATTTATCCTGGCACATTTAATCTCAAGAGCTGCTCATTAAACGTCTGTCTTTAACAAATTCCCATCAGCGAGATGTTAGTCACCTGCGCGCTATTAAAACATCACAACATTGAGATAGTCATTCTTAATTCTCTCATATTAACACTTTACATCAGGTGCATCAGGGTCTGTGAGTGTGTGTCATTCACTACAAGTGCTTGAGTAAAAGTGCTAACAAAAAACTTGCTATTTTAACAAACGGGGATGCCAGTTTATTTCATTTATTCTCCACAAAACTGCACTTTTATTATAAATCGTGTTTTGGACACTTTGGATTTTTGAAGTTGTGCCTTGAAGCTACTGCTCACTTATTTTAAATTTCTCAGTCTCCTAATGTTATTGCAATAAATGTGTTTATTGAGTCAAAACTTGTTGGATATTTTGTTCAGAGTGATCCCACACAAATGCCATAGTGCTGTCTTCTATGGTTAATGTAGTAAACCCATAATGTCAGCGCTTATTATACTAGCTATTGATTTTTCAAATTTGCGTCCTTTTGCCCCTTTTGATGTGTATATTCATAGAAATTAAGCATAAATATCATCACAAAGACTCAACTCAAAACAGAAATTTTGATTAGTAAATGTAAACCCCAGAGGAGCACTCAACAGTCAAGCAGATATCACTGCCAGCAAAGTCCTTGAAACTGCTGTGAACCTCAAATGTTTGCCGTTCACATCAGTGCAACAACACAGTTGATGTGGAATAGGCAGGCCTCCTGCCATATTTGCAGTTTCAGGATTTAGCCTGAAATAACAAAACAGTTCTTAATAGTTCTTAGTTAAGCTCTGCAGGGCCTACATGCAGTATAAAACTGACCGCAGTACTCTGGCATTACATGTAATTAGTTGCTGCCCAGCACTGCCCGCCATGTATTCTGTCAACAACAAATGTATATCTGCAGGTTGTATTAACTGCAGCTATACATGAATTGGCTCAAAAGTCTGAAATTGATTGGGGGGGAAGAAAAATCTGCCGTGTGGGCACGTATGCTTCGTCCCACACTGTCACAGCTCGTGGTGTCAAATGTTGTCTGAAAATATTGTTTTCCCTCAGTGATGTTTAATTGTTCCTCAACCAATTCTCCTTTCCATTCTCATTCCCACCACTAATTAGGAATGGAATTTAACTAGCAATGACTTTAGCGGGGAATCAGAACACACCCAGCCATTATAAAAAACCTAGGGACCCATAATGTGGTGTGGACTTGGCCACTGAAACCATGGGGTGGAGAGACATGAGGAGAGAGCTGCTGCTTCTCTCTGCTGCTCTTTGCATTTTTGGTTCTGGTCTTTGTTGCCATTGGCCTGTCATGAGAAGTTTCTCTCTTCCCATTTTGAAATTGTTTTCTGTTTGTGTTCCTCTGCTCTTCTGGCTTTTTTTTTTGTTTTCCTCTCAACATCTCTCCGTTTCTCTCTTGACCTTTAGTGTCACCTCATTCTTTTTCCTCCACCCTCGCTCACACACACACACACACACACACACACACACACACACACACACACACACACACACACACACACACACACACACACACACA